CTGGGAAAAGAAAAGCGACGAAGGAAATGATTTTCAAGTAACTATTGTTTATTTTTCAATATAATAACCTCATCTTGTTTTGTATTGACAGGTGTAGCCATAATTATATATGTAGACAAAGTTGATACATACATATGGAAAGCAAATTTGATCAGCGTATATCACAACGTAGAAGACTATACTTTGTCAAGAGATACACGTAAGCTAGTTTGGAACACTTGTGGATGTCAATATGTCCTAAATTGGTCCTGCTAATTTAAGCTTATCTGATATGAATTGTATTTCGAATTTTATTTTTATATGATTCTGTTGGCTTCGGACACAAACGAATAAAATTTGAAAAACTATGTAGGAAATGATACATGAAATTTTCATCGAAGTTCATTTGAAATCAAGCTTACTTGTCCTGGTCGTTAGATCAGCTCGAGATACTGCACTGAGAGTATGAAGTTTCACTTGTAACCTATCAACTGCCCAAAGGCGTTTATACGCACATTACTCAAGTACGAGGGTTGTCATCCACCGCTATTCTGCCATTAGATAGGGGTCGGCCAAAGGCTTTTTGGAGGTCGTTTACATTGGTTGCTACTCTACACAACCCATTAGTATACATGCACATGCTTTCTTGTTTAAGCCCTCCCAGTCGACGTATAGGATCGTTTACAAAGAGTATAAAACGAACCGGCAGCAAATTAGCGTTTTATGAGTATCGCCTTTCTGGTTTTCTCATTCTGTTTTACTATTTTTGTGAGTACCTTTTCAAAAGTTAAGAGCACACGGAATATGGGTCTTTGACGACCGTCGATTTTTAGACATTCGGGCTATTGTACGCCTTTTAGCGGTACGCTATCGAAGGCCGCTTCGAAATCCCCAAAGTTCCCCTACATTTAGCGCATTTCCGGACAGGGTTAATGTAGAAATTTCTAAAGTGCTTGTCCGCGTAAATGTCTTTGCTAGGAAGCCGTACTGCTTATCTCGTAGGCAGGATGCATTTAATTAGTCTTCAAACAATCAATGAGCGTGACTAGAAAGGATTTGGGGACGTGTTTGATATTACGTTTCTTGCATCGCTTATATAGCAAAGGTACATGTAGACTGCCGAGGGGAACATGCAGCTTTTCAATTTTTTTTGATACTCGTGTATGGAATAGCCTGGATTATGGAGAAACTCCTGTTCTTCAATTGCTGTTTCCTTAGTCATGCTATTATCTAAATTAGAATACCGATTGCTCTTAGAGACCTCTTGAGTAACAGTGTACAGGCCAGTAAGTATATTAGTTCTCTGCATTTTTTTTCCCGACATCTCGACCGAGCTAGTCTATTGTGTTGCTAGCTTCGTATAGTGAGGAATATTTGATACTAAGATGTTACTAAAGAAAAGGTGTTTTTACACCTGATTTCTGGGATGAATTGCGACCCGTGTTCCGCTATAGGAATGAAGGAGTATTTTTGTGTTAGGCATATTGACCGTGTACATCTCCTTTCGAGTTGTGCATTACAAGTGTAATTATTATCACTTATGCTAGTTGCCTAGACAAGTATGATATTACGTATAAGGACGTAATCGATGGCCATAGGTCGGTTCGGAGCATCTAATTTTTTACATCCTTAGTCGTATACAGTCTCACTGGCAGACTATCATTATTTACGTACGTACGCTTGCAGCACTCGTGTTGCTTGGTTATGTAGCAGTATATATATGGTATGTTTTTGTGTTTAGTCGTACTTACCCGCCCCACAGATGCAAGTATGAACCCTCTATATTTCGAGTTCTACGCCTGGTATCGCCGTTACGCATTCCATCAGACGGCTGGCTCCCAATGTCTGTCTCTGCCCGGATTCGAACCTCGATTACAACATGTCTTTGAGCTTAGCGAGCCAATACGTTATACACTAACTACGCTATCACGGGAACTAATACTAAACCAGTGCAACTGTTTTCATCTAGTGAATTTCTGAGTGATGGTTTCACCTAATGATGGGCTAGTCTCATGTTGAAACCTGCTCTAGGATTCTGGTTGATGTATGCTCATTTTATTTAGAAGTAATTGAGCAGTGAGAATATCCATAGAGGATATAGCACTGGTTCACTTCCGTGGCCAGCAGATTACAAATTTCTCAGACCGATCAGAAAACAATGTCGATTGCCCTTTTTTCAAAATATCCTACAAATCGTATCCAGTTCACTTCAGACTTTTAGGCTTCTATGGCGTAACGCTTTCTGCCTTAGAACCGATTGCATTAGCAATGGCCTACTTACGCGCCTTTTAGCGAACAGCAACGTCTTCGTTACACGTAGAGAGTTACGTGCTTGTCTGCTATAGGGTTACGCAAGGTTATCTAAGCCCGAATCCAGAAATTCGGGCACAAACACACACACACACACACGGCCTGTTTCACGCTGAAAAACCCAGTCGTATGAAGTAGTATATAACAGCTCTAGTAACGGATGTAAAACACGAAAAGCATATCCGGCAATAAATTGATTCCACCTTCGTGGACTTTGTTAAGAAAGCTTCTGCTAGCTTAACGTTGTCGTGCTGACGGAATATATGAACGTTCTTAGCTAAGATCAGACTTAAACAACTCTATATTGCAAGACATAGCATCCATACAAGAACTGTTTGTTTGTTTATTTAATTCATACATAGCTGTTTTACATTAATCTAAGTAATTTCTTCTTTGCACTGCTCCAGCACTTCGTTTCCACAAAATCGTCACAGATGTCGCATCTCATGCGGCGGCCATCTTATTCTTACTAGAGTACATCTGCCGGTCGAATCGTATCATCTATAATGTCTACAAGATATTTGTCAGGCCCGCTGAAGTCCAATTAACTATAAAAGGCGTATTTTCGCTAGCAAGCGTTAGAACGTTCATGGCGATGCGGTTAAAGAAGACGCACGCTATAGATGTCGCTCGATGTTTCTGTTTGACGCGTCATGCCTCCATACGCTCGACCAGCCTTGAATGTTCTAACTGTAATGTTTAGACTTTCATTGACGTGAGCTTGTTTTTTATGTTGCCAAGTATTCTGTTAGAAATTTCAATGTCTTTTACGTTTCGAATATTTACTTTCGGAGCGGCCCAAAATGTACGTAAGCATAAAAAAGTAATGAATTTTTGTCATGCATTTAACTTCACCTTCATTCACTGCCCGATCAGCGCATGCTCGCCGATCGTATATGGTAAAAAAGAACGGTTGATCTGCATGATTGCGAATCAGGGGAAAATACTAATATGAAAACGCAGAATCTATCTCAGTCTGCAACGCGCGAAATTCAATTCCGATTAGACCTGGCTGGTACAACTATGAACATACGTGCGTCTTGGTACTCCAGTCATGACGCGATCATAAGGAGCAAACCGAGCTTTACTACTCCTTTCTGCTATTTTCGGGAAACCGTTTCGCTACGGAACCGTTTTGGGAGAGTATTACCTCTATGCGTATGAGCTCAGACATTTAATTCTCTTTGATGCGAGTATGTTATGTTAGAATATTTGCGTGTGAAGAGTCCCTCACGTGCCGATAGCTAAAAGCGAACACTCACACACATTATCATTATTTTTATCAGTGAAACTTTGTCGACGATCAAGCTCAGCTCAGCCCGACGGCACAATTTCGTGTTCTGTCTGTACGTGCATCGTCTGTCGACATTGCACGTGACGACGACCGGTGAAGTAGTCTTTGTGAGGCCCGGCCGGATCCGGCTGCTTACTTCGTCTCAACAGTATCGTCCTGCTTCTAAAAAGAGAAGCGATGCGAGCTGCTGTTGTTGTGGGAAGCAAACGAGTCAACCCAGATCAAGTCATAGGCAGCGCAGCTTGAACAATACGCGAATAGAATCGTGAACGACTTGCATCGTATACATGCGATCCCTGGAGCGGACACGGTTTAGGCATTATGAAGTTTCCTGAGGATTGAAGTACCTACTTGGACCATCCATGGAAAATGGACGTTAGTTAACATAATATTGTAATGAAAAATAGAGCGCATGCGGCACTAGCTACTTAGAAACGTGCTAAGTAAATGTTAGGCACCCGTTGGGCTGCGATGTTGTGTGATTTTTGTCTTTTGGTCATTCTAAGTATCGGGATTTAGGCGCTGACTTAATAAGTATATGAGGAAAGTGACACTATCACTAGCGGTATTACAGGCTGATCTGTGGTTTCTAGTAAATCGGCAACTAAGTTACAAAGAACAAATATCAGGATAGATGATTTCGAAACAAGTGAGGCTTTCAGCTGCCATCTTGATTTTTTCTTCAATTGGGTAACAGTTTTTAAACTTAGAAACGGTCTTCAAGTTTACAAGTTAATACCAATATGTTTTAATATCGGATCAAAATGAAATCCTCTGGCGTATTGATGGAGCGCACATTTTTTCAACTTGGAGAAGATTGAACAATTTGAATTGCCCACGACTAAGTTTTAGAATGTTGAATAATAAGTTTAATTATATTATCATGCGAAAATGAGTAAACGCGTTCCTTTGGGGGATTCCAATAAGGGGTTTATTTTAGAAACACTTCTACGGAATTGCCATTAACGGCATATATATCGGCATATTATTATTGGAGTCTTCGTTAAATGAACTATTTTATCGTTGAAAGGATAAATTCGGTCTGTTTTTGTTTCCGGTGGCTATAAAATCGAATTTGAATCTGCTGAAGATTTCAAATAAGGCTTTCTTTGTCGTATTTTTGCTCATGCCATACAGTAACCTTCGAGTTACCCTGTACTATGAATAATTACGGCATTTGTGCACGATATGTAAGTAATAATAATAATTCGTTCGGCCAAGTTACAAAGTTGTTTCATTGAATTCAGAATTTCATTAAGATAGTCAATAGCTGTGACAGTGACTTCGTATAACAGTCATATTGCAACAATTCAGGCTTGACCCATTTCTCGATTTGCAATAATTAAGTCTAACTATATACGTTACATCTTGTTACTCACTCTGTTTCTTTTTTGTGTTCTTCTAAAACCGCTCTTAGAAAAAGGAATACTACGGGGGCGAATGTCTGGACGATGTCGATGTTGATCTCTGTATCGGCGGTGTCGTGGGGGTCGGCGGTAGCGGAGGTGCCGGCGGCGGAGTTCTCATTCCACTCGACCATTCTTTGCCCCCTTCGCGTAACGCCACTCTTGCCCGGCTGTATCATTCCGCCAACCACGTACTGAGCCATGGGGGACACCACCCGACTTCAGCCGACTCACCCGATAAGGTAAGGAACGTGAACGGATACGAAAGTGGAACTGACACAAGCCTACATAGTCTTTCAGTAACATGAATCTTGTAGTCATTGGTCTTTTGGTACACATTTCGAAAAATATTACTCAACAGATCAAAAGTACTTACGCTACGCATGAGTATATTCATAAAGTTAGTTAAGTGAGAAATTAACGTACCTTGTCGCAGAGACCCCGCGCATATATAATATGCGTAAGACTTCAAAGAGAACAAAAATTTGGCTAGGAGAAAAAGTTGTATCTTGCTTCACTTTACACACTTATGGAGCAAGTGGCGTTACGATTGGATGAAATAGAAAAAAAAAATTAAATAGATGCAGGTAAACTGAGAAGCGGACTTCTCTTTTTTAACATAAAAATGCTTTGTAAATAGTTATGTACTTTCGCAGTAGACAGAAATTTGTGGCATGAATGGTCAAAGAGTATTTTTTTTTCAACCACGAGCTTCCAGTAAGTCATCAAACAAACGCCATTGAAATAGCAAGAGCTTTATAGAAGCAGGCTGAGTTAAGTACTCGCAGAAAACCTTTGCAAAGATGATTTCTCAGGGGTTGAAGAAGAGGGCAATTGGCCAAACATTTAAACCCTTTGTTTTACTGTTAGATAGGGGTAATGTTTTCGTATTGTCCTTGTCTGAAATACTCACGCTGAACCATCAGGTCAATCTGTTAGTATCCATATAGCAGGCAAGCAATACCCTCTTCGCCACGTTGATTATCGATCGTAACAAAATATTCCGATGGCCTACTTGATACCGGACATATTCTTAATAAAAACCTTGCATCATAACTGATCAAAGCTACTAATGTGCCACCCTCATGCATGTACCACAAGTTTCGCGAATTTCGAACAGCCTTTTATCACGTAAATATTCTAATTCGGATCGTTTGGTACAATAATGCCGCGTACAATCGATTCATACAGCCTGTGACATTACTACAGCTGGTTTATCTAATGATCGATTGTGTTAGCAAGGACTGATGGATAGGTACAGAAAGAAGCCTGGGAAGTTGACATAAATTTAATTAGACATGACATAAATTAAGTTTTGCAGCGGCCGTTTTAACATATGAACGGTCCAAAATGGTCCGTACTGACGGTCCTCGATCTATCGACTGTCGAGAACCTAAGCGTTCCTCTGAGCGGCACTCTGAGCGACTTATATCGTGGTAAACTATAACCCGCCAATATCTTGTCCCTGTTGGAAGACGGCACCGTTAATGTTTCCGTGGTCTCTAGTTTATGATAAACGACAAGATTACCATAAAAATGATAACGACAGCACGAATGCTAAATATATGGTATAACCAAGATGATCTGGGGTATGTGAAAGTGTTCTACGTGAATAAATTACTCGTGAGTCTAGCTGCCAAGGCTAAGTGACCAACATGTGGAGCCCTGTTCTTCTAGCCCAAACGTATTTTCTCCTTGACCAGCATGAAAGCTTAACTATAATAAGGCTGCACAAGGTAATGCTGAAAAGCAGGGCCAAGAGAAAGACCGAAATTAGATTTCCTCGAAAGTATTCCTCTCTATACCTGCTTAGCTTGATGCTTTGCCTGCCTGACCAATATCAATAATTGGTTTCAGCTCGGCTTAGGATTCGAGTAGAACATATCAAACGATGAGGCAAAAATACTGCGACCCTAAGACTGTCTCTTGCGATTCTGTGGATCAAGCTTAGCTAAAAGCGTGCCAGCCATCTTCTTCAGCTTTCGACCGACTCGATAATTCACAGCACATGGGTCTGTGTGGAATACTTGCCCTCCGGAACCCCCAACTCTGTGCTGTTGCGAGGATTGGCCGTCTTCCCATCCCATCCCATTCCTGTCGATTTCGTCCCTTACTCGCATTGACAAAGCTCTACTTCGGAACTCTGCGGGACCCCCCGAAATAATGGCGATATAGGGCAGGACGTTAACTTTTCCCTCTCGTCGAGTTTGCATTTTGCCCTATTATCATCATGGCCACGAGAGCTTTGTGGGGTAACGTAATTGGATTTTTACAGTAGGCAGTCATCATCGTTCTTGTTTATGCTTGCACCGGATGTTTATGCTTGGGGAAGCCAACGTCTTACAGGGATTCCTCCGCCGGGGCTAAAACGCACTGCGCCCACCCTTTCCATTCTTTTATCTATACCTATTGCGGCAAGCCCACGGTATTTGCGGACTCTAGCGGTTCTTCCTGTAGCTATTAACTTTAACCTAAATATACGAACAACACGAGCAATATCGCCGGCATAATGACGCCCTTGCCACCACCGCAACGATACACCCCCCAAGCCATCGAACGAGTAGTGAACCAGAAGTTCGCCTACCATCGGCCGAATCTTCCGACCTTCGCAGAAGACGATTCGTTTGTAGGTGTAATTGAACAGCCGACGCTTGTTTTGGCCGTATTTGTAGCCTTGGAAGTCCAGTCAACTGCTCAGTGATGGATCAAGCTGCCAGTTACCGGACTGTTACTATGTGTAGGAGAACGGTAAAATCGAATTGAATAAAGAACCAGAACCACAGACAACGGAGAGCATAGGCAGCTAGAGCGCATGCAGTCATAGATATTGGCATAAAGAAAGTTAGGTTATCTGTGGTCTATCGTTGCGTACCACTGCTGACGACACTACTGAGTATTATTATACCGATGAGTTTACGAGATAAGGTTGCCTACATCATGTAAATGGATGGCAAGATGTGCGCAGGTTATACCAGAACTTCCTCTTGAGTACGATGCAATGTTGATACTTTGCAAGCAACGGCAATGTACGTGGCGTCTTTTTATTCAGTCTGCATCTTCTCTGTATTTAAGTGTGTGTGTCTGCGTGTATAAGGCAGGAGGATGCTTTGGTACAGCTGCTGTTTGCGCAATTCGATTTTGTTCGCTATATTTTATTAGTGAAGCTTGTGGTGGCGAAACCAATCGGCCTATAGTTACTCATTTAGAACTCAATCCTCTCCGTAAAGTCGGTCCATCACTATTTTTAATTTAGTAGCATTGGTCCGCTAAGCTTTTCCGACACATAGAATAAAACTATATCAGTATTTGCCTAAATTTATCACAAAATTTATTTTAAATTGACTTTCGTATTGCTTCGAAACGTACGTGTGATTTTTGAATGGGTCAATTTTTGCTTGTCATATAATTATTATGCGTAGTACAAAAGCGTAAACAACGTTATTAAGGGTTTGACACGAAACACCGTCCAAGGTTTGGACCGTGTGTTACAGGTAGGTGGTACATTCAAGTCTAAATAAAGGTATGAAAAAAAGGCGCGAAAATTTGAAATAATCTCAAAGGTGTCAGGAAAAAACAGTAAAAGCTTTATTGCAATACCGTGAAAGGCAAGCTTTTATACTCTAATCCAACTCAGTGTTATCAGTATCTTAATTGAAATGGCGTTTTACTTCTGCATAAGTTAATCACATGTCTCAGTGTTAATAGAATATGTATTAACGAAATTGTTGATCTGTGTGCTGCACAGCTCTTGTATCGGAAGTTTGAATACGCTAAAGAAGTGATATTTAGCGAGCATTTTTTTCATTTCATACTAAGTTATGAGCTTGCTTGTTTGGAACTAATTGTATTGACACCTACCCTGTATCGATTCCCATAGTGCCCGGGTAAAAATAATCAACCCAAGATTTTTCGATGGCTAAAGTTGTGATAACCACGTAATAATATGTGGCCTCTGAAAAAAATTGACACGCAGTTCTATTTATTTATTTGTTATATATATTTATATATAAAAAATTGAAAAAATACCTGTATCAGTAGTATATTTAGTGCTGATGAACTAGCCGAAACATAGCACAGCTGGAACTATATTTAGTGAAACTACTCTGTACTTATATGCTACTCAAAGGATAGCATTGAACTCGGTAGAACGTTGTCTACAAGCCGTTAGAACCATCATTGGTTTATGGTTTGCATTGAAAGCTAGTGTATTATCATATTCAACTCTGCTTGTCTTTAAGCCCTATCTTTACCTGCAAATATCGTATTTTTTTTATCTTCGTCGATGAGTCGAAGTTACATTTTGCTTCCGTTAATAGAAAAGTAAGCCATCGAAAGCTGGTTATGATCTCAGTCCAATCATTCATTCAGACAGTTCAGTATCTTCAACTCGGTATCGTCCGGTATCAGACTAATGCGCTATTTCCACAGCGTAACTTTAACAGGCTACCTGTATTTATCATTTTCATGAAAGACTTTTTTGAGATGACTAGGGCTACAATTGATGGAGCACAATTAATTAATTTTCACCAAATAAGGAATAATGTCACTAAACACGTACCATTCCAGTTAACTTACGAACGTAACATCAGATCTCAAATATACGCTATAAGCTAAACAGTTTATGGTTTTAGGTCTAGACACACTCCTTAAAAACTATGCTTTATCGGATCCATCTGGAAAGCATATATGTCATCGTCTCATAATCAGCGTCTGCAAAACGCATCATCTGTGACTATTCCTCCGAACGAAGCTGTCGTCCCATCTTACTCGACAAATGGCCATGTGTAGCACTTCGACCCAAGAGGCATCACTCAAATTAAAAGAAATCATAGACAGAGCAGAACGTGCTGGTTTAGAGTCAAGTGGTAAAGATGGATCTTTTTGGGGGGAAAGACGAGTGGATTTAGGGAATCCACAAGTCCGGAAGCGCTTGAGGGGCCGCGACATTATAGTCCCCGGGGGCATCTTTGCCGCTGGGGAGTAGCTTCCCTACTTTTTCGGGCAGCCGTTCCGCATCTTAAAGTACTCACTACGCTTATGTCTCGACCAGTCAAGCACGACTGTATGTCATTCTAGACCAGCGTTCTTCTTATCAGGAAATGGGCAGGTGTTTACCCCGTCTGCATGCTTATGGCCGTAAGCTGGCACTTCGAGTCCTTGAACCCGGTAAAGTAGAAGGTCAAATGTTAAGCTAACACATGAATGGGGCAAGACAGGGCAAAAATGGAGGCAGCGAAATAAA